GTTATTGTACAATTCATTTTGAAATTCCACTACAAATAAAGTCAGGAAGAAACTTAAACGATTTTGGGAAAATTCGTTTTTTTTCGTCACTCTCCGGAAGCATTTTGTTGATTACTTAAATACGAAACTTTGCCCCCATTTAAAAGACTTCATGTCTCTTTCAGATCCCAATGGTGAGGGTCGAATTTGAAACACCTTATAGGTTATCGGAATTTTATGTAGTAATGCAAGAACAAGAATGCCAAGGTACGGCGGCATCTAACAAGAGTTTGAAGATCCGACCTTTCCAAGCTGATTATTCAACAAACTCGATACCTAAGGAATAAAGTATTCTGCTGAAGTAACTGCCACTCAAGTCAGCGCATCGAGATAATAAAGAATGAGACTGCAAATCAGACGATCGCCATCTGCTCAGACAGCCAGGCACACATAAAGGCATTAAGTTCATCGCATATATCGTCTAAGCCAGGGGTCCGCAACTTTTTGAGACGCGAAAGCCAAACGTTATAATTTACAAAATTTTCCAGTTTTTAAACAGCCACTAACATTTTTGTTTCAATATTATGGTATTTGACTGCGATTAGGTATATAAATTTAATTTTTGATTTAAAATAAACAGTTTTAAATATGAAATAATATTTATTCACATAAAAACATACAAATGATTCGCACAAAACATATTAAAGTGTTTTAACTAGCTCTGCTAATCTAATCAAATTACAAGTGTTACATCAATGGGCCTTGCACGCCTTTTGAAAGTTTTGTTAAATATGGCTCATATCTTGTTGTTTTTAGCTTCAAGCACGCCTTTAAAGTTTTATTTGTTAGCTGGCTTCTTATTTCACTTTTTATTACATTCATACAAGAGAACGCTTGCTCGCACGAATATATTGACCCGAAGATCGTCAGTACTCCAAATGCCAACTTCTTCACCTCACTGAAGCATTCTGGAAGACTATTCCATGCATCAAATATGAGTGCCTCAACTCGCGGCATTTCTTTTAGAGCTGTTCACTTGAACAGCGTAACATGCATGCTTTTCTGGACCTCCAACTCTTCTAATTTGCCCTTGAGTTCTGTGAACCTAACATTCCACAAATATTCAATTTTCAAATCCAGAAATTGCATTTGAAACGAACCAGCATCAATTTCAAATGACTCAATTTTTTTTTGTTATAATCCAACTACCACGAAGGCCTAAGGCCTAAACACCCATTGTGCACCGTGGGGCTATAGGGGGATAGAGGGGAAAGGGGGTCAATGTTGATCTCATCTATATTTGTGTTGAGAGGATTTACTATGAACACCAAAGTAATTGCGCTTGTTTTGAAATGCTCAGATCTCTCAGCGAATCCATCCTTCATTTTTTTATAGGAACGTTGAAGTAACTCGTGTCAATAGTTGCATTGGTTTCATCGCGATATTGCTTCAAATTTTTAGTAATTTACCACTCTCCATTCCATGTCTTCGACAAAAAGAATTAATTTATTTTCGAAACAAACCGCTTCTTCAAGCAAGGCAGAGGCTGAGCTTCCCTTTCCTTGCAGTTACACATTTGGCTCGTTTAGCTACTTTGTGATGTATAATAATATTTTTATTTCACTCAAGCAAAAAGCATTACCCCTGGAAAGCCATCGCAATTTATTGTGCAGAAGTAGGTCTGAATACTGGCTTTCTATGTCTTCAAAAAATTCCTTAAACCGCAGGATAATATTTTTCATGAGTTTTGAAAATAAAATAATATAATTATATTAATATTTGCGCTTGGAACTGGAAAGCCGCAACTTGACATCAAAAGAGCCGCAACTTGTCATCAAAAGAGCCGCATGCGGCTCGCGAGCCGCAGGTTGTCGACCCCTGGTCTAAGCTAGTATGGGATTGCGTGAACACTCTTAAAGAGCTGGGAAACCGGAACAAGGCAACATTGCTCCGCGTACCAGGACATGAAGGGCACAAAGGAAATGAAATGAAATGGAAAGCGTGCGGCAAACCACCTTATACTATAGGTCCAGAACCTTTCTGTGGCGTGATGAGAACACGCACTAAACAGTACATGAGAAAGTGGACCAAGAAAAAGTCCCTAGAATGAAGGAACAGTCAGTTGGGGCATAGGCGTGCAAAAGTATGCATCAAAGAACAAAGACTCGCATTTACAGAGGTCCTACTTGGATTCGATAGGAAGGTCATGAGGGCCATGTCATGACAGGCCACTGTCGTATAAATCGACATAACGAGGTTCTGGGTGTCTTGCAGAAGAACCCCAGTGTCTGTGTCACTGTGAAGTCCTGGCAAGGCTACAGTTTCAGATAGTAGGAACCACAGGTCCAACAGCGGAAAACTGCATGCAAGGCTCCGTGTCAAGGCGGTCCAGTCTGATTAAAGGATAAAGGCTGGACACAGTGCTTTTTTTAAATACCGTCGCCAGGCCGCGACCTGAAGCGAGTGGGTCTACGAACCTCCTGATGTGCTGGAACTGCCGCTGATGGTATATCTTCTCGCACGCAGGCTGTCTTTTCTTCATCATCTATCACCCTCTTCTTTCACCCTACATATCCCTTTCCGGATCGATTAGGAGTTCGGGGAGGTTGGACATGTCGATCCTCTCGTCCCATTTGTTCGTTCCTCTCTGCCAGTCCTCTGACATGTACCGATCTGGTACGAGGCTCGGCATATCTTTGACCTCAATCGTTTTCCTGGCTAATATGCCTGTCGCCATATTCATGACAGCAGTCCAGTTGTCAAGAGACTGCAGCATCGAGTTGACAATGCTGTGCGGGGTCACTTCCGTGCCAAAGCACTGGCTGCATTCTTGTCTATCTACCTCCCATCTAGGACACCTGAAAAAGGTGTGGAAGGCATCGTCCATGGCTCCGTAGTACAGGCAGGAAATCGTCGCAAATGGCGAATCTGTTAAAATACGCCTGGAAACACCTGTGCCCTGTCAATATCTGGGTCAGGTAGAAATCCACTTCGCCATGCTCCCTTTTAACCCATACCTCCAGATTTGGTATCAGTGTTCTCGTCCAGCGACCCTTAGTGGTAACTTGCCGTCGCTGCTGCAAACGTCTCACCAGTTGATCGTACGCTGCTTGTCTTCCAGTGTTAGTTGGATCTTCATGCACCTGCCGTCTCATTTCCAGTGCCAGGTCTCTGGGTAGCGTATTAGAAATGACCTCAACAGCCTCAACCGATACCGTGCAGTATGCACTACTAATTCGCAGCCCTATCCTACTAACTCTCTGCAGCTTGGCAAGATGTCGTGTTACCCTCATGGCCCATTCCCAAAGGACACGGTGCTTTAGAAAGTATATAAGGGGGTCGTAGTGACGTTAAGGATTTCAAGTCAACCCGTTTCTTCTGTAATCTGTAGGAACAAAGTGGCAGTCGCATTGACCCTATATAATACAGAATTTAGTTCATCAAAAAATAAGTCTATGAAGCGTTATAAATTATGAAAGTCTTAATCTGCAATCGATTATAAATTTTGTTGTAAGAATAGATTACGCTGTCCTAGTCCTTTACAGTTTTATTGCCTTCTGTTTATTGTGCAAATGTTATCTAGACATAACTTGACAACAATAAATAAACGATGTTTATCTTTGATTAGCGCTCTTATTATTACAAATGTGGCACTGCAACAAAATACGCGTTTATGTTATAATGTTTCATCTGAATTTTCCATTGTTTTGATTACACGATGATTTATGGATTCTTGAATGCATTGCAACCACGGTCTGTCATATCATCTGCAAAGGTCATACGATTATCGGCTTTGCTCATTTTCGAAAGCTGACGACACCAATTTAATTTGTCGAATCCTCTTCATGGTGAATACCGGCTCATTTTTGTCAGTTTTACTTATTAGTTTTTTGACTGCCTATTTTTACTCATTTGTTTAAATCGGGGTTTAGTTAAATTCTGATAAGTACTACATTTTGCTTAAGATCAGTCGGTCTATTCGTGGCGCAGTTATTAGCAATAAGCAATACAAACCGCCCTATCCATCTGCATCATCGGGTACTCCGCATCAAGATATTCTCTAACTAAACGGACTTAGTGTGCCGGCAGCCGTCTTGCTGTTACCAGATGTCTCTGTAATTGCTTAGTGGTACGTCTTCCAATTTTGGTAAATGATTTTGTAAGAAGTCTGAATAAATTTCGCCATTCAAAGGGTACAATGATTGTCCCATTTAGAATCTAGGTCCACATGTTTACTTTAAAACGATACTGTGAACTATCTTGTCTCATCCAATGTGGATCAGTTACGTGCCACTCGTGTGTAGATTCATGTAAGCATATTTTCTAAATGCCGACTCATCAGTCCATAAAATTTTCTCTAAAAATCGCAGATCTTCCCAGTGTCTCTGTAGCAATGTTTGACAAAACTCAACTCTTTTAAATATTTTACTCGCTATACGTGGTACGGGTGGAGATATCGTTCTTTCGCAAAATTCAGTGGGCTGTACTTTTTGGCATTCCTGTGCTTGCTTCTATTTGACGTATTGAAGTACTCGGGTCTTCTTCGACCTCGTAAGAAAATAAAATTATTGTTTCACTATGTTCTTGATTTGGGAATTGTTCCTGAGAGTAAACTATCCACATTCACAAGAACTCGGTGATCGGGATGACGAGCAGCATTTGGGTACTATTTGCACCGTTACGCCTACATTCCCCATAAATGAGGTTTATGTTGGAGTGATCTTGAACGGTGTATACAGACATGGTGGTATTACATAATCATCAGAATGACACTGCCCGTCACTCCGTCTAAGAAAAAAATTGAGATTTGTAATAATGGGAAGTAAAAGATCAACACAGGATGGAGATTTTTCCGATTTTTTTAAAGCCGACAATTTGATCTATATTTTTTTAATATTTTTCTGATAACTATTATGCCTTGGCCTATCCCCTGTCTTCGGCTTGTCGACGACGTCTGGGTACACCCTGTATTTATATTTCTGTATATTTCTCAAGTTCCTGAATATATTTATAGAACTTACCTTTGTCGAGGCTTCTATCGAACTGACTGTCCACCTTTGAACGAAGCGTGTCCAGATCAAAAGGAGTTGTGATGCCATGATCGACACTTCTGCTTTTACTCCTGGAAGAAATCATTATTTCAGAATTTTTATTCCTAAATAAATAAGAGACGAAAGATACCACCTTCGAGAATAACGTTATTCGTTCATACCCAAACTCCATTTTTGTATAATATAACTCGTCCTACTATTCAGAGTCATATTTAGAAAATCCTGTTTACAAGAAACGACTCCAAATGCTTTTAAACCAGGAGGTGTCAGATAAACTTGGAGAAAATACCCCGTTAATATAAATTCCTCAAAGTTTGCCTACGTACTTGAAATTGCAATTAAAATATTAATTATAAAGTTCTACGAAGGCAACCAGTAAGCTGTTACCAACTTTCATCCCCTCAAATATTTTCCTTGCTAATTGTGCTCAGCCCCGATGCATTTTAACCGGACGTATGTATTTTTGTCACGCGTGTCGCTTTTGACGAGAGTTTAATTGTTTTTCGGACGTTATTTCTGTAGAGAGATTTTGGTACAAGGCTGTCATAAAATACAGATTATAATAACATTTAATGTTCATTAGCTGTGTCTTCTTGTTGTTTGTTTTTGTAGTTTGAAGGTTGATGTCATCTTTTACCAAGCAGTAATATAATGTTAAAGGTGCACCTAAACCAAATTTGCCACTAACTGGAAAGAATGTGTCAGTATACAGTGCTTTTCAAGAAGGTCTCCCTATTTATTTTTTGAACGGTAAGAGAGCTGATATCCGGAGAAATGAAATTGATCGAGAAGTACTATGTTTTAGCGTAAAAGTGACAGTTGAATGTTTTAAGATGGCGGCCGGGCACAATTTTGGACATTTTTTAAACGGAATGATTGGTCGTGTGAAACCTCATTTTGAAGTTCGTTATGAGCACTTCATAATCTTAGTAGTATATAAAATCAATATCTTAAAAATGGCGTACAGGCAGGCTGTCAAAGTCGATCACTTTTGTACATTAAGCGACTGCTGATAACTCGACGATCAATCATTAAAACATTAATGGTATGTCATATCAATGTTCTTGGAGCATAGCGTTAAAGAATTGTCAATTTTCTAAACAAAACGTTCCAGATTTTACGACACTTGCAGATACACCCTTCCAAAAGAAAAAGATTGATCTTACATACTACAAAGTTTTGATAAAATTAGTTATGTTATAAGCAATTAATTGTACAAAAACGCTTAACCTGCCAGTTCGCCAAAGAAAGATAGCGATTTTATATTCTAAAGTACACATAAGGAGCTTTAAAATAAGGTATCACGTGAATCTATTCAAAAGATGTTACAAGATGTCAGCTAGCCGCGATATTGAATGTTTCCAAAAAGACAGCCAACCGTGGACAACTGTTTCGTGCTTCGTTTCTACTCATGAGCATGGTCTAGGCTTGGTCTGTTGTCTCTGGGCGAACGAATGAAAGCATCGCAACTATCCTCTATACCTTAGGTAAGGTCTATCGAAATGAGACAGCGCAATACGCCTCTATTACAGTAGAATCGACTATAGTATATTACTCAATTTCATAACCCCGATTTTCATCTCGCTAAAAAAAACGAGAAGGGAGAGAAGTTTCTATATAGTATATGGTTATCATTGGAAGTCCTTCTAATTACGTTTTTCAAAACATTGAGCGTTTTTCTAGCTGTGTGACATGTGTCTTCGTCTTGTTGGAACTACAATTCCAGTAAGGTAAGTGGTCGAATTTTAGGAGCCACACACTTTTGTATCATGTTGTCACTGGTGAGTGTTGCGGCGATGTGAGAATAAGCGTTGAGGTCCTAAAATTCGAAAACTTGGCCTGCAGGAAATGTGGTCCACACAGGACGGAGTATCTCGTCAAACAGCTAGAAAAATAATAATAGACGTCTTTTTTTACAGCATTGTAATGTACCTAACGTAAGACTTAAATGGCGAAATGTAGCTTTAGCTACTCCTACATTTAACCATAACAGTCACTAGCAGATGCTAATGCTAATAATGAAATATTATTCACAACAAACGTCAATTTCTAGTAAAAATTATTATAATAAAGCGAGAACTGGCATAGCTTCCAAAAAAAAGTACACCAAAAAGTAGAAAAGCAAAAAAAGTTAGGAAAGTAGAAAAATCATGATTGTGTAAAGAAGTCATTAAATAATAGCAGTAGTAATGATAATTTCACTTTTTGTCGAAAAGCTGGTAATGAGCATATTATACAAATTTGGTAAAGAATTATACCCTTATAGTTTGATCCTTAAGTGGTATATCGTTGTTAAAATGATTTTTTGTTTCGCAAGTAAGGCGGTTTAGACGTTACTAATAATTTATGGTTGAAAACTGAGGAGTAATATTGAACCAAATCATTTATTTTCAACCAATTGTGTATTGGAGATTTAGCTGATATTTGATCAAATGATGAATGTCTTGCGAAGATTATTTTCAGGGCGTTTGATGCCTCCATTTCCAGATGTGTTACTGTGAATTTTTTTTTAAAATAATGTTCAACAAACCGAGCACTATAGATCAGGTACCTGAAAAAAGTGATACAATCTAGTGGGTTCAGTTTTGAGGGACTGGAGGTTGGCATTCATGTTATATGGTTCTTAATACATAATTCCTAACTTTCCTTGGGAAGATGCAGTTAAAAGATTGGATATATCCCGTTACCTTTTAAAAATATTAAAAGAATAACTCGGTCCTTCGAGTATTGGCCATCCAATAATTTTAATAGTGAAAACAATATGAACTTCAAATAATATTTAAAATATCATTATAAGGGGACATATAGAGCGCAAAGCTATATCTTTTCGTGGACTGCCGAGCATATTCATATACATATACACTACTGTTATTTCTCGTTTAGTTACACCATTCATTACCGTATTCTAACTAAAGAGAGCAACCTAGCACTGCATTCTCGCATTCATAAAATTATTGAGAAGATGGTTTCGAAACTTGATCAAGAATACATGCTTGCATCCTATAAAATAAAAATTTGGGGTAATAGTTCCACAGCAAATCGAATTTCATAATACAAAAGAGGATAATAAGAATATACGATCAAAATGAAATCAAGAGAGTCAGGTAGGGGTGTATTTAAACTCAACAATTTATTAACATTGTCGAGAATTTATAACTCTAACACTTTAATTTTCACCTTTAACCAAAAAGAAAATTTTGGAAGAAAAACACCTTCAACCAAACTTAAAATACTCACAAAAGTCAGAAATACATCTACCATCCCATAAGCTGAATTCTACCGAAAATTGTCCACATTACTCAACACTGGAACTTTACAATGATTCACAATACATATTCAATCCATTTCAGCACCGCCTTTATTATAAAAAGTCTTTATCAATTAATATTAGTAATAATGACTCTTAAAAAACAAAATAAACAATGTCATTTTGTTTGCAATATTTTGTAAAATAACAAACAATAAGATAAAAATATCTTATTGCGTTATATGACTTGAATACCGATTTTTCAACATTTTCCCCTAGCAAATTTGGCCTTTGGTCTGAATAAATTTGCCCGCAGACGTCCGAAAACCTATGAGCGTAGTTTCGAGGTTTCGGTTGCAGTTTCGGTGGATTTTCTGCCGAAACCGAAACTAAACCGAAACTCTGATTTTGGAAGAAACTGGCCGAAACCGAAAGTTCGGTCGGACACTAGTTATCGCAGTTGTGAATTTCAGACATCAATAAATTTATATTCTATTCTATCTAAAAAAATGAGATACCGGAGCGTCATCTATGAGAATTTGTCACATCTATGTTAATTTCTCTCAGCACTAATTGGAAATGAAAAGGCTAGTGAATCATAGATTGACGCTGTAGCCAATATATTCTATAATGCTAATACAGTTGGTTACAGCGCCATCTGTGACAACTTTCCAAAATAGATTTCTAATTAGTTATGAGATGAGAGATATAGGTGTGACAAATTCTCATAGACGACTCTAAGGTATCTCATTTCAACTGATTTTTTGGATATGAATATATAGTATTAAATTGGCTATGTTCAGGTAGAATCCCTTAATTAATAGTTTCACCAAGCAAATTCAGTACAGTGAATTTTTAGTTTAAAGTTAAATATAGTGTTGGATATATTGAAACGTGGTTTATGGCCTGCACAACATCCCGACTTAAACATTGTAGATTAATCCTACGGGAAGATCGAATAATTGCTAGATGTAAAATAAGTAGAAACAACACTGATGTATTTGAAAATATTCGGCAAATGCTAACTGCTAGTTCAAAGTTCGAAGTCTTCAGTGGTAAGTTGTTAACAAATTCAACAATAAAATTGTATATGAATATTCCACTTTCAAGGAAGAAGGAAGAGAGTGATTACTTGTTTTCTTATCGCCTTCTCTCTTAAAATCACCTTTAATTTTCTTGAAACCTTATTTGGCAGCAAATTTCCAGTCATCTCTATACACACCATGAAATAATCAGATGAAAAGAATCTAGAATACTGATCCAAACAGCCAAAAAAAGGGTAATTCGACCTTAAATTGTTGTCCCATGTTTGGGAAATACCCTGTAGTTAAACTACTGGCTATGCTGTATTCACACGTGACGTGAAAAACATGCATGTTTGCCGATAATTTGTTGTAAATATCCTGTATTTATAGTTTGAAGTTCATGGCCTCCTGTAATTTGAGGTGCATTAAAGATATTGGTAATCTGTTCAAAGAGCGTTTTTGCTGCAATATTCTTATATACACTGTCGATTTTAATTGGTATCATAATTAGGTACAATGTAACAAGCTTTTTATTACGATTGTTAATTCATATTGTGCTTCAATAATTATACATTTCAAGTATGCAATTACTTGTTTAAGAACGACGAAAATTTCTCTCATATGTTGTCACCATAAAAAACAACAATATACAAAAACTGAAGTACTATCTTCGACAGTTATTATTGTTTTTCTGATTACCATGGAAAAAAAAATGTTTCCTTTAAATCATCATTGAAACTACATTTACTCATGGTTAGACGTAACAATAGGTCGAATTACATTTTAATGTTGGCATCGAGATAAAGACGATTGTTATTCTTGAATTCGCCACTGCATTTAAAACAGGATCGTAAGCCTAGGATTTTGTCATTTCAGACTTTTTAGCAAACACAAGAAAGATACCATTATGAACCTAATTTCAGTAAAAAAAAATGTATCGTAGACTAAAATTTTGTAACACAACCTTTGTATGTCAGAGATATAAACCAGACCGACACATTATCCTGAACATATTTTTATGATACTGACTTCAGAAAGAAGCTGCCAACTAAGGTTCGTGCAAACATTCTATCACCAATGATTTTGTAATGATGTACTAATTTTCAAAGCATTTTTACTGGAAAATACGAAGAAAGACAATATTTTCTATTCTAATTCTATCATAGGTTAAGTGAATGAATGAGCGAAAATATGAAAAACTCACCGTAACCATGGCAGGTTTTCCTTGTTAGTGACCTTCCCCACATCTTGTGATGACCTACGTGACCTAAGGAATGACGAGAAAACAAAAATGAATTCATGCAAAACGAACTGAAAAAATCATGCATGGCAATACAATAGAATATGATATTGGCTTTGGTGAGGGTTTAACATGTAGCATGCAAAAAAATAACATGAAAACCAAACTATATCTAAGATGCATGTAGTGCAAAACATATTTATTTAGGATTAAGAATTTTCTTCATCTGTAAACGTGTTTGTATCTAGGATGGCCAGCGTACATATATATGTCACAGACACTATTCCACTATAATGTACATATACAAGGTGACCTAAAAAAACAGTGGCAATATTTCTGAGGCAGAAGTACAAAAATAGTAGAAACTGGAATCTTGAATTATACGGAAGAAAAAATATTTTCTATGAATCCGATTATTTTAAATATTATTGAATTTTTGATTAGGACTTTATTTGGCATTAAAATCATTTTTAGTGAATTCTTGGTTGCTCATTCGTTTTTGGGAAACACTTTGATCTAGGTAAAATTCGTATATCCACTTTTAGGGTTATCTTTGGATGTATCTTTTGCACTACAAATACTGTTTTGATACACCATGAATATCAATCTTATGTATCTGCCAACGCAATGATATCTAGCAACATAGGGCCAATTCAAATCGTAGACAGCGTTCTACTATGGTTGAAATACTAGATATACACTACTATAGAATGAGCGAAATGTGCAACTACAAGTATTCCAAATTCAACTACTGATTTGTGCTTTCTCAAGTAAAATTGTACAGCAGCTTAGCCATGCGTGAAATATTACCAATAACTGCATCTGTTGCTAAACAAATTTAATAGCAAAGCTGTTGTGCAACGTTAACGCTTAATTATTTTCATTTTTTATCGCGTCACTGGAATTTTGATAGCTTCATTTTTCACAGACGATTGTCTATAATGATTAATAAATAATCATTAGGATAATTCAAAGGAGCGTTGGGTAATCATAGTGAGTGTCAATTGCTTGTTTACAAATTATTTTTAAATCCATGTATTGTTTGTTGGAGGAATCATCATAATCTTTTTGTAAATATTCAGAAACCTATGGCAGGTTTATAAACCCTTGTAACAGTCATAGTCTTAAGCATAAACATATTCATAGCCACAGTTATAAGTTGCAGCAGTTGTTTTTCCTGATTTTGGCAGATGATACAGCATTCAGAAAATAAATTTAAGAGACTAAACCTTCATTTTATTCTTGTGCTCAATAAAGAGAAAATAAAGAAAAAATCAGTGCCCAAAGTTGTTGTAAATGATTTATTGAGCAGTTGAACAAAAAAAAGAAATAATTTTCTAACGCCCTGTATAGGACGGTAGTTTACAGATTGAGTTCTGCCATGAATGAATAATTATAAGGGTTTAAAGTATTACCGACAAGTCACCGGCCACTGTACACCTTAGAGGATTAAAGTAGGATTCTGATTGTTCCGCAATTTGACAAAATGAAAATAGGTCGTAAATATGGGCCATACTAAAAATATTGCCGTATGTTCACGAGCAGCCTTATTGCAAAATTCAGAGGAGGCAGGTTAGGATTACAGGACCAATCAACCAGTTTGAGGTATGGATGCGAGCTTTTTAAAGCGGTAGGAGAAAACATTATTTCTATGTAGGGCTGTTTTCAGGAGGAAAAAAATCCACACCACTTATTGTCTAAGAAACGGGCCCTCTATTAAGCGTGTTTTACTCCCCAAGCGGCAGCCGGCAGGGGGGAGGGGGATTGGTTATGCCCCCTTTCCAGTGCTTAATGGGCAGCTACGCGTATTTCCCTGGTTACTCTATTGTAGCTAGATAACACATTAAAAATAGTGGCCGTTTAGATGTTTCATCACACATTCGGCCAGATCCCGCATCGCCAAACATCAACTTGACAGAAGGCACTACTTTTTCAGTAGTATAGCTAATACTTTTCAGTGTCAGCTACAGATAAAATTGAATGTTACACAAGAAACTATGTCAATGCTAGACATTAATATCACATATTCGAAAAACAAATAGGATGTAATTGTGTGAATTGGTTGAGGTAACGATTCCTCTGTCATTATATTATCATTTGCATATGTGTTACGTTTTCAGTTAACCAATCTCCAAACTGAAAATCACGTGATAACGGTATGACTCGTACAATATGAACATTTTGCATTTATCAACAGCGAAAAACATGTTGATGATGAGTAAAAGATTGAATAACTTATTATTTTGCTGTAACTGGATCATTTCAAAACTTCAAGATTCAGCCCTGGAAGGAATAAATATCATTCTTGCTAAAGCCATTTTCATTAGATTTGAGTGATGATAAATTCCGGGATTATAAGATATTTAACTGACATTTAAAACGATTGTTAATTTTACTCCAAACTTGGCTGATATCAAAAGGCGAGGAGCGGGTACTATTGAAGCGTAACGAATACGTTAGATTCGATTTTTCAATCACGCTAACTTTCAAGATAGGTAGTTATGACTTTGAAGTCAACTATGACTGTGGACTTTGTTTTTGAAGTTCTGGTTAACAATCAATAAACTTTTGATGCGGCAACGCTACTTTTATTTCACTCCAATATTATTCATAACATTTAAATGAACCAAAATTCATTCAAATAATACTGAATTCAAGGTTTTAATTCAGCACTTCCATACAAAATTTCCCACAGTGCGAGGCCTCACGATTTTTGGACGGTCATATAAGCATCAGCACCCCGAACTACCCAGGTTTATAAAGTTTCATTTTCTTGATTTCGTCATGATCTTGTTTGCACTCAGCGCCCCAAATTACCTAAGTGTAAAAATCCTTCGCTTGTAACAAGGAACAAAAATTAAACTGTTGTCATACAAATTTGAATAATTTGTTAAGATTTTCTATTATAAGGTCTCCAAACAGGTCTTCGTGTCTGTGGACTGGGAAAAAATTTGTCTCCCATAAACGGGTACCAAAACGGAAGATAGTAGCATGACCTATAAAGTTACATTACTAAGTTGTTCAATCGCGAGTAGACTGTATCTACTATACCACCAGGATCGACGGCATGTAACGGCCACATTGGTGACCCGGTTGTCAAATGCGAATTGGAATACAGTACCATAGACAGCTTGCTGTTTTCATTCTCGGAGTGGTCGATTCTGGTAATGGATGGCAGTTTGTGCTGTCTTATTACGATTTTCGATACCTTCAACATTTTCCAAATTTCCAGAGTGATCCAAGTTTTTAAATTTTTACCAGCTTTCAAAATTTTCAGAACTGTTTCAAGATTTTGAATAACTTGAACATTTTGAAGATCTGAAAAATGTAGTATTTTAGTAGAGGAAGTGCAGCATATTTGAAATACTGCAGGTAACTTGGAATTCTTATTTATCTAAATGAATGTAAACGCTATCTGTATTTTTTGCCGTAAATATATAATGTCTTAAATCACACAAAAGAACAAGTAACTAAATTTAGGACCATCTTAACATTTCCTGCCACCAGCCACACGGAAACGAGACGTCTACTCTGAAAACTTTTTTGGTAACAATGCAATCATTGATAATCATCTACCATGATACCTACGTTAAATCTTCATTGCAATTATTTGAACTTCAAGTTCAGGCTAAATACTGATTTGTGATTATTGTGACTGGTTACTTAATAATTAATAATTAGAAGCTATTTTGTTAAACAGATTAATTACCAAAGACTGTACAACGATCACAAGGCTGAGAAAGGTATTAGTTTCTTAGGAAAAATGTAAACAATTGTCAAAAATGTGATTATAATTTGGTATACTAAGTTCCAAATTTTACCTGCACCTTAAGTAAATTTACGATTTTGGAGTTTTTTATTTTGATAAATATTTTGATGGGGTTCCTGGTCTTTGTTTTGATTGTATATATCATTAAAATTTGATAATTTACCAATAATTTAATATATTTTTTATTTTACTATCCCGTTTATCTTGCAATTTATTTCCAAGAAACAAACCAGTATTCCAAATATGCTACAGTTCCTCTAATTCTGAAAATTTGCAATTTGAAAGTCTGAGATGACAACTGCCAGATGCAAATGTTAAATCATTCCGTCACCTTCAAATTTCTCTGTCTACTACTATTTAACGATGAACCTAAAAATCCTCAAATGTCCATTTCAGTGCTTTTATTACCACTTAACCTTGTGTGGGTACTAAGAATCAAACATGCATCAGCGCTTAAACATTCTACATTATACGCTCTACTTTTCCTACCGTCTAACAATGCTGAAGGTGTGGATGACAATTTATTTATAGGTCATAGGTTTACTACCACATGTTGCTGGTAAACAGGTATGTAGGTGTTCTCTCTTTAAGCATTTCACAAGGTTTACAGTAAAATATATTTGAATGTTAGAAATAAAAATGATGACATGCTTCACAAAAAATGCTCAATACTAATTTTGGTTTGAGTTCAGCGGCCTGCCTCGTTCCAGTTACAAAAATATATTGTGACTTATCCAGTCCTTACCAATGGAGTATTCTGGAAGATAGCCCAAAAAAATACAAAGAATAAAACAAAATTAGAATGATTTCCACCTACAATCAGGTAGAAACAGCGTTTCACGTTTATTAGCTTTTCATTTTTTTAAATATATTGGAACAGTGTTTTTGATCCTGCCAAAACTGTGTGAGTTCAGGAAACAGCAAAAACGAAGTTTGACTAGCTTTTCAGGCGCGTTTTTATACTACGCCTTGAAACAGTTACACACCTAAAATCCGTTGAGACGTCTCTAAAAAAATGGCTACGAGTAGGTTGACTCTGCCTGTGTGTCACGAGTTTATAAAGGATTATGTACGGCACAAGTTAACCCATCTCAGAACAAAGCTAGCTTCGAAAATGTGTATCTTAAAAATTAAGTGAATCAAGTCGGCCAAACAAGTCCATACAATTAGTCCATAGTCCCCACCCATTTGAGAACGTTGCGATCTAAAAATTTCTCCCCTCCCTTACCGACCACCTGGCAACGTTGCAATGACTAAC